AATAAAATGGTGCGTCAAATGACGATTTTAACGGAATTTGGTAATTTGCATATTTCTTTGAAATAAAAGGATATTTTGCCAAAAAAACTATCCAGAAGTTTTTGTCATGCCTTAGCCTATCTACCATAAGAATATGAGCGAAATTGAATTTTTGACCCTTGCCGAGTTATTTTCCATATTTGTGGCCAGGGACTCTTAAGTATCTTGCCAATTTTTTTTTATCTTTCTAGTAAATAGGGCACACATTAACTGTAATCAAATTGCATATGCATGCACATGATTAATTTGTGCTTTGTGAGGATGGACTGGTAAATGAGTACAAGTGATATGGTTTTGATTTAGTATGGCACTCAAAATGAAACTGTTCTTTCTATATAAAAAGAGTTTTAAGCATTGGGCAAAGATATGGTACCCCTTGTAAAATAAATAAAATTAAATTCAGGAAAACATATTTTAAACTACTTATGGTTTTTTTTTTATACACACCTTATTGAGGGTATATCAGGGTTTCGGGAGTAAAGATCCAGGCAAAGCCGCATAACTCTGTATTTGAGGCAAAAAAATATACCTTAGCATTTTTAGGAACCAAATGTATTATTGCTGTTCATGTTGATAGTTTCATGTATACACTCAAACAATGATAGAATGACCTTTAGTTGATTCTTGTATTATAGTATGTTGATACATGTATTATGTACAGAATATGTTTATATTGATACATGTATATATTATGGTTTGTTGTAACCTAAAAGAAGAGCAGGGATATGGTTGGAAAATATTTCTCTTCCCCATGTCCACCATTTATATAATGATCATTGGTTTGTTGTGAAAGAAGGGCCTTTATAATCTTCTTATATGAAGAGGTTGAACCGTCGTTTATAATAGATTGAGTTGTTATAATTGATTCAATGACAATTTGTTTCCTTACTTTGGATGCGACCAGTAACCGTTTTTGCTTTTGCATTGTAGAAGGTGTTTTTGTTGCTCCCAGAGACACGCCATCTCGGTAGGGACATTTTGGTCACCAGTATTTAAAAAAATTTG